ATGATAGTGAACTAAATTTTGCAAAAATAAACCAATTGTACAAAAATATCTAGACAGATTTTTATCACAATTATCACGTGATTAGCAGCCACCTTATAATAAAAGCAGTGTGACCGAATAGTGCTATATGGGGCATACTGCAACAAAACCAGACAAAGTGAACATTGGTATTACCAAAGATTTCAGGGATCAATGGTGTTTGTTTAACATCACAATTGTATTATCAATGTAAAGTGATATTTGCCTTTTTGCTTAGGATCATCTTTAGATAAAAATAGTTAATATGAAACTAATTTACATTAGGTCTACTATGGAACCTAAGAATTATAGTACCATCAGAAATATTTTGAAGAAAGAAAAAGGATTACTTATGAATTTTACCAAGAAAGAAAAATCATAAACATTAAGAAAAGAAAGCAGAATGAAAGTATGAAAGTACACTGTTATCCAACAAAAAGCAGAAACCTTTGGAAGAAAAATAATTTTATTATTAAATATTGATATATATTATTTTTTTTCCTTTTAATTCTTTTAACAACATAAATCAGAAATTATAAAACCCAAAAAAGTTATACCTGCTATTCACAACCCAATAGATTTGCCATCAAACTTTTCTTCATTCTTTGAAGTATTGTTTTTATTAAAGATGGGAGCCACAATCCCTTTGTCAGTCCACAATTATTATTGGATAAAATTTTCAACCAAAAATATCTTAACAACCATTGAGTAAATTTGATGAAATGACAAGGATTGCCTTCCAAAACTCATGAGTTTTAGAGTTATTCAAAATTAAATTTATTCTAAACTAATTTAGAAAATGAGTTCAAATTTCTAAACTGTATGAGACCTTAAACTGTTTTTAATATTATTATCTTACGAATGCTAAAAAAGAACTAGGGTTTGTTGCTAAAAATAAAAGTGAAGATGATGTTTGTAGCTGGATAAATTTTGTATATGATAATTTAGAAGAAGAAGAAGAAGAAGAAGAGATGGTGGAGGAGGAAGATGTTTCTATTGAACTATCTACTGAAAATGATGATGAACTACAACTGACTGATGACATACAATTAGAATCGGAACAACTGCTTTCAATAAGCCAAGTGCTTGTTGTTATAAATAATGAAAACATTGATGAACATTGTCAAGAAGAAGTCACTAGTGATTCAACTAATAATGAGGAAGATTATGATCCTGCAGAGCTCTGGCTTCAGGTTATCTTGGTGATTTTGAATAGTAAAAAAAATTGATATTGTATTATGATTTTTAGTCATGAAATATTTTAATAGTAGTAGCATAATTAAATAAAGTATTATATTATTAGTGGTGTTCCATGTTGTAACCCAAAAAAGGAAACAAAATGGTCATAAAGGTGGTTGCAACCAGCAGTTGCAATCCTTAATTATTAGTATATTTTATTTGCAATTTGCATTATTTGAAACTTTGATTGTGACTTGCAACTTTATTTGTTGACTTGTGACTTTGATTGTGATTTGTGACTTTATTTGTGACTTGTGATTTTATTTGTGACTTGCAACTTTATTTGTGACTTGTGACTTTGATTGTGACTTGTGACTTTGATTGCGACTTGTGACTTTGATTGTGACTTGCAACTTTGATGAATTTGATTGTGACTTGTGACTTTATTTGTGACTTGCGACTTTGATTGCAACTTGCGACTTTGATTGCAACTTGCAACTTTGATTGCAACTTGCAACTTTGATTGCAACTTGCGACTTTGATTGCAACTTGTGACTTTGATTGCAACTTGTGACTTTTATTTGCAACCACTGCATAATTGCACCCATGGTTGCAACCATGACAAATATTTGCGACCAGTATCTTTACTTGAGACATAAAAGGTAGTTGTAAACATTTTATTTTTTTTATTTTTTACATATTAGATAAGTACACACTAATAAAAAACATTATTTATGATTGATAGATGTTGGCC